TTACACAGTGTGACACAGTGTGACACAGTGTTACACAGTGTGACACAGTGTGACACATTGTTACACAGTGTGACACAGTGTGACACAGCGTGACACAGTGTGACAGTGTGACACAGTGTGACACAGTGTTACACAGTGTGACAGTGTTACACAGTGTGACAGTGTGACACAGTGCCAACACCGGCGTGACTTGAAGTGCGTGCGTGCGGCTTATTATGACAGCCGCACGCTATACGGCGGAAACAATGCGCACGCTACACCCGTCACAGCGACGCAGTTCTAATAATGCCACGGGGGCAGCAGCAGCAGGAGCAGCTACATCCTCCTCGTTGCACGCTCACATTCGGGCCCTCCGCTCGCTCCAGAGAGCCTCCCTCTCTCTCTCACGACGGCGGCGGCGGCGACCTGCAAGGGTCGAAACGTCTCGCAAACTGGGAAGCCATCGATCTTTCCCTCCCATCCGCCACCCCCCGAAACTCATCGCCTATAACCTCCCCGCCTTCCCGGAGCCCTTCCACCATCGGGGGGGGGGGGGGTCGACCTCGGCCTCAAATAAAGTAACCTGGCGCGGTTTAAAGAAAACATCGCCACTGGACGAGACAAAAGGCGGACGGACGGGCGTGGTTCCCGCAGCACCCCCTCGTGTGTCCTTGCCGGCCCTCATGAGGGTGGCTACTCGCTAATGGCACTCACCCCAAGCCGTTTGTTAAGGGCCCATTCATAAATGACGTCACGCGATTTTGGACGATTTTTGACCCCCCCCCCCCATTGTCACACGGCGTCACAAAAAGTCAGACCCCCCCCCCCCTCAAATATGACGTCACAAAGCTCTGCCCCCCCCCCAAAAAAAATATATAAAACATGCTTCAATTCGCTTTAAACTATTGTCATCGTAGTGCGTATTTAATGTGGCGCTGCACTCTGATGTTGTTGGATAAAACATGTATTAAAAAGTCTATTTAATTAAGTAGAATGTCTTGTCTATATTTATTTAAAGTTGCTGCGTATTTTGATGTGACGTCACATTTCTCAAACAATTCCCCCCCCCCCTCGTCACACATCGTCACAAATGTCTGACCACCCCCCCCACCCATAGGTGCGCGACGTCATTTATGGACGACCCCTAAGGCTACTCTGTGTTGCATTATATTGTTTCCAAATTTTACTAAATCTTGTTCTATTTGATGTGCTTCTCCATCTCTCTTTGTCTCCCCTACATGCTAAGGCCTCGACACAGAGACCCTATCTCTTTGTGCTCCATACGTTGTGTCTCTCTTTGTGTCTCTGTGTTAACTCCCTCCACTTAGGTGTCTGTATATACATCTGCGGTTCTGTGTTTCCTCTCTCTCTTAAATGTAGCTCTTCTATGCCTGATGATGATTGCTTGCGTTGCAACCGAAACGTCGTATGCTATTATGTAATTTTATTATTACTTCTTATTTCTACGTGACTTTACCGAAAAAAACAAAGAATAATTCCTGCAGCCACGAAAGCGCCTAATCGAGTTCACACGGGGGATCTTTGTCTTGGGGTCCTCACACGGATTGAGCACGTGAGGACCCATCCAATGCACCACCCCTGCATAGGGGATGATTGAGGGGGGCCGGGGAGGACGCGGTAACGCATCAGACTTCTCATGAACCTACCTACCACTCTACCTTCTCACCAGAAATGGTTTGCGCCATTTACTTTGCAGGTTGGCACCGCCACTATACCACAAGGCTAGGGTAAAGGTGTCACTATGCTGTATATCGTTTCAAGTTTTTGGGGGATTTTTTTTTTATTGTTGTAATATTTAGAAATGGATCAGCTTATCAATGTGCTGCCAAGCAATTATTGGGCACGGTGATTAGCACCGCACTGCACCATGAAGCCGGCGGCTTTCACTTCGATTCCTGGAAACACGCCTAAAACATCGGAGTGTATAGGGCTCCCCACCATGTGGTAAAATAAAAGTTGAGTTTTTTAAATCGGCGTATATGTTTAGTGATGTGATCTTGATTTGAAGCTTTCGTGACTGCATTAATCCATACTCTTTGGTTATTTTGGTAAAGTCACGTAGGTAGAAAAAAAAATTTCTACCTACGTGACTTTAGTGATGTGCTTATGTTTCCTATACTTTCCACTTCCTGTCGTGTCCTTTGTATTGTTGTTGTAACCATTTGGACCCCCGTGCCCCTATCGGACTAGGCCAGCAACGTTGCCACCTTTAACTCGGTGCGCTCATCAATTGCTGCCACCGGAACACATGCCAAGAACCCGGGACATGTGGCGACCCGAGCGGTGAATGACATCTGACATCAGAGACACGTGGTGGGGGGAGGGCGGGTGCCATTCACCCCCCCCCACCTCACTGCCACTCCGGGCGATTCGATAAAGCATCGTAAAATTCTAGGTCACGGTTTCGTTTAACAAAAAAAATGCACGGTTCACTGCCGCAGTGACTGTCAGCAACCTTTAGAGGTAGAAGGGAGTCATATTGAGCTAGGATTTCCAGTGAGAGACCCAACACAGAATATCTCCTGAGTTTGATCTTCCACGAAGTTCATGGTTCACCCTAAACCGCATCCCACTGCACAAAGCATGGCAGTAGATGCGGACATCCGACGCACAAATGGCGAATTAAAAAAATAAAAAAACTCTCCAGTCGTGCGCGCCTCTGGCCGTCCAGAACAGACCGCACAAACGCACAACAACGCAATTGCCCCAGATCGACAAATACGAAGGAGACGCCACGGCGATGATAGGCTCCGCTGCTCCGGACACGGTTGTCTGGCTTGATAACCGCCTGAATGTGAAGTTGGAGTTGTTGCTCTGCATCCACAACAAGCAGCCGTACGAACGTAAGAAGTGAGGACTTAACTATAAATCCTGGTTTTACCAAATACAGTACACTGTAGTATCGTCCTGGCCCCCGGTAAACTCGTCTCCGACTGTGGCAGCACAGAACCCAGAAGACACCCCCCCCCACTCATCTTCCTTAACTTTCAACGCTTACAGGAGGAAGGCGTTTTCCCTTTACGTGACCTTTTACACAGCGTTCGATTACACTGCGATTGTTTCGCGCACAATGCGATGCAGCGAGGTTATGATGCCACCTCTAGAAGCCAGTGCCGGATTATCCGAGTAGCAAAAGTAGCTACACATGCTACGGGCCCCGCACTTTCAAGGGCCCCGCGCTAAATGCTTTCAAGCTATCAATTCCGGTTCAGTAATTCTGCACTTGCTCTATTACTACAGTACTATACTGCCTTCAACGTTTATGAACGACTGGGTGTTTAAGGCTAGCGATTTGTCGTTATTATCTGGCTGTATAGCAAATGAAAAAATACAATTACTTTACTATGCCAGTAAAAAAAACCGTGTGTTTTAATATTTGTGTGTTTTTTGTTTAATGTAGGACCCCTTTATAAACATATGCTACAGGCCCCGCACTAGCTTAATCCGGCACTGCTAGAAGCCATCGCCACGTGCCTTGGGGTGCCCCGTTCCGCCGATGGCGCGCCTCCAATTAGCTCGGCTGGCTACATGCGGAGCCAAAGAAGTTCAACGTGCGTACGTGCACATGGACAGCAATGTTACCAGCTTTCCAACTCATTCTTTGTGCAAGCACACGCTGTTCAGCGAGCAAACACCGTTTGTGAAAAACCAATAGGATGCGTAAAAAAAAAATACACACGTCCGTTTAAAAAAAAATAAGACATATCCTGCCCATGGCCTTTATTTAGTAATCTTATTTTAGTCTCATGCATTCGTAGATGCGGCGAACGAGATGGAAGGGGAAAAAAGCTTACTCTCATCCAACCGCAGGCGGATGTGACGAGCAGGACCACTGCTGCTGCTACTGCTGTTGCAGAGCAACGCACACATCACATTACAGCCGGACCCCTCGCTCCGAGAAGTTTAAGTTGGTCATTGTTACACGGATGATGGATCCCGTTTTTTTGCCAGCTGCCCGGCTATATTAGATCCGTGGCACTGCGTACGGTACGCACGACGGGTCACAACCAAAATCAAAAAGCGTCCGATATTGCAGAGGACGAGAACAACACGAGGCGTTTAATGGTAAAAAGGCAGCGCAGCGTGAACTCCCGTTTTACAGAATACGTTCGAGACCCCCCCCCCTCCCCAGACCCAGTAATCACACTCCTGTCGTAGTAATGTACCGTGCGTGCAGACCTCAAACGAGGAATGAAATACTGTACGATTGTGCAACTTGGCACGATACACATGAGGACTGTTCTCACCGATACAAGGCTTGTAGTGACGGACGCAAAGGCGACGGTGTGTAGGGGCAAGTGCAGGTTTATTACACTGCGACGTTTCAGGTTTGCCTTATGCGCGCGTTCACGTCACTTAACTATGGGCCGAATAGCAAAACAGATTGTGCCAGCGGCGAGGGGGCACACCCTGGACTACAAATCCTGTTGAGGCAGAATCTTTCGGAAAAACCGAGGCATCATTTGGGATAAAGTGGCGAGAGGTGAAGCAAACCCTCTGCGGTCCATCATTGAGTAACGGGAGCGAACGTGCCGTTGCTGGTGTAGGTCACTAAGCTTCCAGGACAATGCGTATATTGTATTCTTAGCCCTTTCGGTAAAGTCACGTTGAAGGGAAACAATAAAATAATAAAATATATATAAAACAATAAAAAATTCTCACGACGTTTCGACCATAACACAAACGGTCGTCATCAGGTGTGTCGGTTTGCATAAATTTATGTATTTTTAAACGGTGCGTTTATTTATTTATAATTAAAAAACGTCAGCGCCACGCGCAGCGATTTGGCAGTTTATTTAGAAGGACTAGTCCATTACTGCAGTCACGAAAGCTTTAAATTAAAATTTAATGCGTATATTGTCAGAGAATGTTCACAGCAAGTACGTGTGGTTAATGCAGACTTGACTCCTTGCAAAAGGTTTCTATTTGGTGTTAAAGAGTACCTGCTCGGTGATTGTATGGGCGTTGGTGAATGCTACGATGGGTCGTGCATCTCGTACTGTTCAATCGCTGCCGTATGGGCTACGGTAGAGCATGCCTCCTCTGCCGGGGGATGAGATTCACAGTGGCTCCGTGTCAGGTCTACACAAGGGAAGGCGAGGGCACAGGGAGACACAGAGTGAGCATAACAACGCTGCCATTAGCTCACCGCCTTTCATCAATGCAACGAACTTAGTTTCAACATCTCAAAATGTGTAATGTCCTCTCTGGACCACCCAGCACTGCAAATCGGCCAAAACAAGAAAAAAAACGCAACAAAATATTAGTGCCGGTGATACGAGTGTCAAAACTACGAGCCGGAAGTAACCCGTCGCGATAAAGCTCCGTCAGGTTTGTTTAATCCGTCAAATCAAGCGCCACACGTTAGCAAGAAGCCACAGCGACGGGGCCCACCGAAGAATCCCCCACGGCGTGCCCGGCGATGACACGCGCAGCGAGCGCGCGCACGGCGGGGTCAGAGAGAACGGCTCTCTCGCTCGGTCGGACAAAGAGGAGCGTGCTGGCCAGACGCCTCCGAGAATGCGTCAGGGCCGCGGCTGCTGGGCACGCGCCCCTGACGCCCGAGCGTGTGTGGACTTAAGAGAAGGAGGGGAACAAATCAATCTCTCTCTCTGGCTGTGCCGCTTGCCGGGCTCTTCAACATTTCAGGGACGCCCTCGAAGACAAACACGGCGAGCCGCGGAGGACGCGGATGTTTACCCGTTACGTTCGGGCGCAGGTGGCGGCAGTAACCAAGACGTTTCGTGGCGGAGCACGGCACTCAACAGGACCGGTGGAGAGCGCGCGGGGGGGGGGGGAGTAATTATGAGGAGAAAGCGCACGGACGTGGGCAGGACGCACGCCGCTATGACGAGTGAATGGAAACAGTGGCGAAGATGCAAAAAAGATCGCACTCTGCATATAAATCACGTGGTAAACCTAGCCCGGCATACACCACGCTATCCCACACACTAACCTACAATCACACACCATGCCAGCCCATACGCTAATACACACACACACACACAAAACGACCGAAACCATCCTGAAAAAGAGCCTGGAGACTTAGTAACTAACGCTCCTGCAAAAAGAAAAAGTAAAATATAATTAACGAACTTCTTCATCACAGCCAGCCGAGCTTGGATGTAGACGTTGGGACGCTTTTCGTGGAGAAGCCATCGCCCATGACAGTGCTCGCGAGGACAAGGGCGGCTGGCAGCGAGCCACCCGACAAAGATGGGCAACTGCATCGCGCGCTTTCAGATGCGCGTCTGCGGCCGTCTGGAATGCTCTTCCAATATTACGAAGACTCTGGAGATAAGCAATATTAAATCATCTAGATTGAAGACTCACTTCTTTGAGGACTGCTTTTTGGGTTTCGTTTTGTCGCCCTTCCCGCCCGCACCTCCGATTAACACGGCCGGTTACAAACGGTGCGAAAGAAGATACAATCGGCACACACACGGCTACCGCGCCCGGTCCCTTCTCTCGTGCCGTGACCCACACCTGCCCTTGGGCCCCACAGCTGCTCGGAAGCAGTCACTCGGCGGGAGACTGCGGTGCCGGACCGCAGGCTCTCGCCACTGTTTGCCAGCGTAAGCCGAGAGCACGCGCACGCACGCACACGCACGCACACGCACGCCGCCACGGTGCCGCTTTATCGCTGCCGTATTTGCGGAAGAAGATGGAGCGGTGCTGCGGTTACTAAATCAGCGCCAGGCCAACCTGAAGAGGAAATGACAGGTGTGCAGGTAACCAGAGAACAGGCGCGTAGAATAACCTACTGGAGCGCTTCCCTTTGCTTCCTGTCTGCATTTAATGGCTCCGTTTTCATGGAAGCATTGCCATGCCAAACTGAATTTCAAAACAATTCATGCCAGCGCTTTTTACGTGCAGGAATTGTTTTTTTTTTCCCCCTATACGCTCGTCATACTTTTTCTACATTTACGTTTACCGGATATACATTTACAATCAAGCCAAAGTCAACTCAGAGACTATAAAATTTTGACCGATGAAGCTACCCCTCACCGGCAGCTCGAAGACTTTTCACGAACGAATTCAACGCCAACGTACGACGGAGTTTCGCCCCGAACTGCTCCGAGCTTGCGCCGGGTAGCGAACTCGGGGAAATCGAGCACCGGATTCCCCAAACCACATACGGATCATCGTGTTGGATGCAACAAAACCTACGTGTTAAATTACACGCACAGTAGATCTTATTCTGTTATACGGATGACATTATGCGTAGCAACCGTAATTCGAAGTCGACATTTGAAATCCGGCCGATGGCTCCACGAGACGGCGAATCTGTTCAACGCGCTCCTCCCGAGCACGAGTTGGCCAAATGGCTTATTGTGTTGGTGCCTCCCCGCAGACACATGTTGGAGATTATTATATCTTGCATGCACGGAGTAGGTGGCCGCGCCTTCGGTGAGCTGTGCGGATGCAGTTCACAGCGGAGCATCGTTTGCGTGGCAGGGTAGGGCCCTAGGTGGTAGTTGAGAGGAAGGGTCTTCGATCCAGTGCTTGTTAGATCGCAAGGCAGATTTCCCAGGTTTTTTTCCACTGCAGTTCGATGCTTTCTGAGGTTCGATGGCAGTGACGGTCTAAAAATGCTTTCTTAATTTATGGGGGGGGGGGGAGGGGTGGCATCGTATATTCTTTATTACTGCATTTTCTTGGTTCTTTCGGTAAAGTCACGTAGAAGGGAAACAATAAAATAAGAAAAATATAAAACAATAAAATTATCACGACGTTCCGACTGCAACACAAGCAATCGTCATCAGGTGTGAAAACCACAGCAAGAAATTTTGAAAAAATTTGAAAAAAAAAATGTTCTTGCTGTGGTTTTCACACCTAATGATGATTGCTTCTGTTGCAGTCGAAACGTCGTGAGAATTTTATTGTTTTATATTTTTATTATTTTATTGTTTCCCTTCTACGTGACTTTACCGAAAGAAACAAGAATACGAATCCCTGCAGTCACGAAAGCTTTAAATAAAAAAATATTACTGCATTGTTACACAGGCAGTAATAATTTAGTAATTCAGTCAGGAATAATGTAATACATTCTGTCAAGTAAATGCCTGCCTCGGTATCAAAATACATTTGAAGGTTGGAAATGTTTAGCCGCACAGTGCTTGGAAGAAAAAAATGCCCAGAGAAAACCTTTCCATGAACAGATAACAAGTTCTGGTGCACAGCAGGTAGCACGCTTCCTGCAACAAATGTGACCACGTGTTCTGGCGTATTAGCGAAGCATTTAAAAAATCAACAAATTGTCACGAAAAAACAAACCTCGCCAAAATCTACACGTACATTCACGAACAGAGTGTGAATGGCTGCATTTCAAATGCCAAACCTTGGCACCGCATCCGAGTTATATTTGCCCATTCGGGGCTCCCAAAAGTTTCCACGGCTCCCCCCCCACCACCACTTCATAAAACATCGTCCAGCCATGCTACTTCACACATTCTTCCCTTTTTGTAACAGCTGCATTCTCAGTGGCCTCGTTCTCCATCTCGTTCCAGCAGTGGTGAGATGTTAAAACTACGTTGCCTGGTATATGGCAGGACGCCTTTATATTCTGAGTTTGCATGTTCTCCAAGTAATCGCATGAATTTTTCCCTGGGTCCTCCAGTTCTTCCCTCCTGCATTCAGAATCAACATCACGCGTTTAGAGTATTTGGGTGCCATAAATGTCCACGTAAAAACTTTGTTGAGCTGTGATTTGTGGCCAGGTTGCTTCTGAAAAGGAGTTATCGTAGCTCACGTGGGTCCTTACCCTGTTAAAATAAAAACATAGTTGTATTTTTTTACACTTATGTTATTATTCGAGAACCCGAAAACACAACGCAGACATCCGAGGGAGAAACATAGGTCACGAATTGTATAACAGTCCGGAGTAATAACCTGAGAGAGAGAGTCGTCACCGCACGCCGACAACAAAGATACGGTAAACGGAGACTGCGAACGAGGCAGCAATGATGCGGCCGGCAGCAGCAGCAGCAGCAGCAGTTGTTTCGTCTGAACAAAATTATTCTAAACTTCACGTTCACAGCCAACTCAAAAAAAAACACACGAGGGCTCTTTAAAAAGAGCGGAGCTTGAAGGCCGGCTTTCAATTTCACACAAAGGAAACGGAGATCTAGCAGGAGAAACAAAGTGATGGCTGGCGTGGTGGTATTGATGGCGTGATGTCCTCTTGACCTTCATTTACTGTACAGCTATAGTAAACAAACTGCCAACGCCATAAAAGCTGTGCTGAAAGCCTGAGCATTGACTGCAGAGACGTCTTAACTGAAACATCAGCAACAAATATTTCCTGGATAAAAGTGAAGTAATATAAATAATAGTGCTATGCAAACATTAAAGCCCCGCTGGATTTTCAAGACGTTTTCCCGGAGGGTCTTGCGCAGGAAATATTCCATTCATGGGCATCTGGGTTCGTGTGGGAGCAAGCTGGAGAATCCTGGAGAAAACCGACTCCACAAAGGAGGGTGCGAAACTCAAGAATGCTATCTACTGGCCACCTCACAATCCCACACCTACGATGCCCGGCAAGTCAAGGTGGTCACCCATTCAATCACTAAGTAAGCTGAACCCACGTTAGCTTCTGAGATCCGATTAATTCAGGGCACAATTAAGGGTGATTGGGAATTGCTTTTTTTTTTTAAAGCCTAAAATAAATACGAAGCAAGCCTGGCGCGGAGTTGCAAATGCAGCATTGGGCCACAGCTGGTTGTCACGAGGTGGCTTCCTTTTTCTGGTTTCTCTACTTCCCAATGGCAGGACGGCTGTGTCGTGCGAGCTTTACGCGAGCGAGCATGGGCTAGCGTGGGCGAGGTATGCAAGCAAGGCCCCAGCTTCGGGACATCCTGCGCTGGAGACAATGCTTTTGCGCAAGCTGGCGACCGAGAAGTGAAAGGCCAACAGCTGTGGCGGAAAGGAAGCTGCTGCGAGCGGCACGTCCGTCACGACCACATCCACAACGAGACGCTCACCACCGAGCCGACGGTGGCTTCTCGAGCCAAATGCCGGATCGGGGGGGGGGGGGGAAACGGGAAAGTGTGCAACACGCACGCCAATTATATTCTGGGAAA